GCCCGGCCTTGGCTGGGGAGGGCGGGGTATAAATAAAATTTATTATTATTATTATATTTTGGGTTGCGGTTTAGGCACTTGGACTTTAAAAGGTTTGCCATCACTGATCTAGGAGGAAATTGCTGAAATGCCTGCTAAAATCCAGACATGTGGCAACCCATGTTGGAAGTGTAGATTTTGGTGAATTTGCCCCCCCCCCCCAGCTCAAAACTTCATTTTTTATCTGAGATTTTGCAAGAAAGGCTCAACAACTCCAGGTTTTCACTTTTTGAAATATGGCAACCGTAGAATTCCTATTTACTTCACTTTACATACCATCAATGTTTCTCTTAATGTATATGTGTTTTATAGTATCGTTTTTGCCAAATATGCACATTATTGCTAAGCAATTTTCTTTACTGATGCATTTTTAATGTTATTTTTGCATATGTATACATTTTTATGCATGTTTTTACCTTAGTGTGTACATTTTTCTACACATTACTAGACTGGAGAACTCTATGGCAATATTTGGAAAAAGCGTGTTCTCCAATAAATGAGAGCACGTGTTGCGGTGTGGGCCGCCGAGCCAGCCCTCTTGTTGCCAGGCAGGTTAATAGTTGTTGCCTGGCATTGTGATTGGATAACCGGGTTGCTGGGGCAAACTGTATGTTGCAAATTGGGTGGGTGGGACCATAGTCTTTAAATATTGGTGCACTCTGGTTTCTCTTTGCAGAGTGCATCGGATCACCCGCCCGCCCGCCCTCTTTTCCGGTTGACCTTGCTTTGCCTGTCATGGGGTCGTCTGCCTTGGCGCAGGGGCCTAGTAGGAATTTTGACATTTGGTGATTGGCTGGGCCATTTGGTTTTTGCCTACTACTCAGCAATTCGTCACAACTTGTAAGGTTGCGGTTAGGCATTGGTTATAATATGCTGGTGGTGGAGGGGTCAGGATAGGCTGTGCCTGCCCCTCCTATTGCGCTGAAGGGATTCCGTTAAAGGAATCCTGGGGCTTACCACGATTTCGTCCTATCCCTGTCATGGGATCAGGGCCGTCTAATCCCTGTCATGGGACCAGGGCCGGCAAGCCTTCGGGGAGCTGCTTAGTGGGTCCGACGCTTAGCTCAAATGACCCCCAAGTTTGACTTTCCCTTCTACTGGCTACCGATCGGACCTTGGGATGTCAGTTCTGTCCCAGGCGGGGGGACAGATAGTCATAACCAATGTCTAAACAACCGCTCACTGATTTTTGTATTTTAATAAAGTTGTGGCCAAAATAGTGTCCAAAAACCAAAACTAAAATTACTTGTTATGTGTGAAGTTATTTGAGGGGTGGTCTGGGGACCTACACACGCAAATGTAAATTTTGAAGGAGGGCTGTGTTTCAGTTCCTGTATTGTTTTGGATAGTAAGAATTAGGTAAGCTGACCTTTAACTAAATCAATTTTCTCCCCCATCACTATTCAGATGCCAGAGAATTTCACGTTTCCATGTCACCTGTCCCCATAATTTGCCCCTCCCATTATGTCAGCCAGAGTATTGGCAGTTTCTGCTTCTCCACCTGCTGCTTGGGGTTTTAAAAGATTCACATATCTACAGTTCGTGCATTTTGCATTTAATGTCACATATAGCTTAACCCTGAATCAAGCCTCAGCTGCTTAGAATAAATAAAACTGAATAGTTTTATACTGTATATGATTCTACACACACACACACTTTACTTCTGTGGTCCCGTTCGAATGGGCTTTTGTGAAAAGAAAAGTAGCATAAAAATATTGAACATAAATAAAATTCAAGAGGAAGTGATGCTTCCTTAACTACTCACTTCCTTCATCTTTCTATTTCTGACAGACAAGTTGCATGGTTAGAAGTGAATAGCATAGGACAGGCTTCTACTATGGATACTTTTCTTTTCAAATAGGAACATTTCGCCCAATACTACTTTAATTACTTTTTGTTACGAAGCAAGTGGCTAAGAAGAAAGGAGCAAACCACCACATTATGCAGCAGATTTTCCTGCTCTTTGTCTATTTGCTTATCACACTTATATTTGAAAGACATCCATGAAATTCTACTTTTGCCTGAAGTGTGTAGCAAATATAGAACCCTCTTACGCTGTCAAGTAAACTCAGCTAAGGCATTGTATTGGAGCCGACACATGCTTGTACTGTGAAATCCCAATTTCCTGGTATTCATCCGTGTCTGCACAATATAGCATATGACAATTTCCTCATTTAGTATAATAAAACTATTTTATTCCTCATAGCCTTTTATTTTTTAGGATACAACAATGTTAGCATGGCATATTTTATTGAATAGCGCAGGCTAGAAAGTCTGCACCCCCAAACAGTTCTTTTGGGTGAGCTATTGGAATACAGCATTCAATTTGTTAATGCTAGATACCTCCAGGGTTGTCCTATGGCCTCAAAATCTACCAATTACCTGGATTCAAGAAACAAGATCAGGTTTCTGGATGGCCTGGCACAGCTGCTGGTCTAGATTAGACGCAATAATATGTCATATCAATATATTTCTTTATACAAGGACTTATTACTGCTAATCCAGAACAGCAACTGTGCTGCACAGAACCCTAATATTGTGTGCATAACCTTTTAAAGATGTTTTGTCAAGCATTTGCACATATTGCATAATTTAACATAATTTAAACCCTGGGAGGGGGAACATTTGGAAAGGGTTAAAATAGGGATTAGGAACCTTTCAAAGGGAAGTTTGGGATAGAAAATACAAGAGTGTTCTGCAATGTGAAAAAAGAAAACAAAACTCTAAACAAAACTTTGTTCAAACCAGTGGTACCTCGGTTCTCGAACGTAATCCATTCCAGAAGATCGTTTGAGTTCAGAAATGCTCAAAAACCGAGGCACAAAGGGCTGTCTGAAAATTCCATTGAGAAAACTGAAAAACACACAGTGCAAGCCGTTTGACTTTGAAATGGAACGTTTGAAAATGGAAGCATTTACTTCTCCGTTTTCAGCATTCTGGTTCCAAAATATTCGTCAATGGAGATGTTTGAGAACCGAGGTGCCACTGTATTTGAGGGAGAGAGTCGGTTTAATAGATTTCTATGTAAATAATATGTGACCAAAGAAACAGGTTTTAAGTGTTCCATTAAACAGGTGAAAAGTTCTTTTATAAGAATCGATACATGAAGTATTAGAGCATTCAACCTCTACATTCAGATATTTTCTCTTCTTTTTCAGTTTCTCTCTGAAGTATTTTCATGTCTGAAAGTTTGTGATTGCCTAAACTGAAAAGTATGGTAAAAGTTGTTTAGGCTTTTTATTTGTATTTTTTTCTGATTGCTGGTATATGATTTCTGGAAGGGATAAAAAGATGTGTTGCCAAGCTACCGCACAGAGGATGCAGAGCATTTTGTGTTATGGAGAGCTTTTGTAAAACACTCTCTCGATTTTTGCCACTGATTCACAGGTGGCATTAATGGGGGCAGAAGATTTTGGTGATTCTTAGGTGGATGAATTGGTGCAAAAGTATTAGGAACAGGACTTTAGTGGTGGTGGAAATGGCAGTGATTCCACAGGGGCTGACATTTCCTTTCCTTGAGGCTCCTGGTGCATGAAGCTATGTCATGATATGACATTTATGGAAAGGAGCCTTCTGGGACCAAAACAACAACACAGGGACTACCCTGAAAGAAAACTGCTGTTGTTGCCCTTTAGGAAAGCACAGTTGTTGGTGGATAATGAAAGTGAAGGAGGTGAACTTTGCTTGGATAACTTTCAGCCCAGCACTGGTTTGATGCAGTAAGCTTTCTTATTGTTCTGTTTTTGAAGGTGACCCTACGATAAGTACACATGATAAAATTATTGGATTCAGGCTGATATAATCCAGGGCTCATGATAGATGGTTTTACCTCACTTCTCTCAAAGTTTAGCAAAAAGCCATGAAAGGTAGGTTGCAGCTCTCTTTGTAAAGAATTGATTACCGAGGAATTTGTTTAGTTGTGTCCGACTCTTCGTGACCCCATGGACCAGAGCACACCAGGCACTCCTGTCTTCCACTGCCTCCCGCAGTTTGGTCAAACTCATGCTAGTAGCTTTGAGAACACTGTCCAACCATCTCGTCCTCTGTCGTTCCCTTCTCCTTGTGCCCTCAATCTTTCCCAACATCAGGGTCTTTCCAGGGAGTCTTCTCTTCTCATGAGATGGCCAAAGTATTGGAGCCTCAGCTTCATGATCTGTCCTTCCAGTGAGCACTCAGGGCTGATTTCCTTAAGAATGGGTAGGTTTGATCTTCTTGCAGTCCATGGGACTCTCAAGAGTCTCCTCCAGCACCATAATTCAAAAGCATCAATTCTTCGGCAACCAGTTCTCACTTGCATACATCACTACTGGGAAAACCATAGCTTGAACTATACGGACCTTTGTCGGCAAGGTGATGTCTCTGCTTTTTAAGATGCTGTCTAGGTTTGTCATTGCCTTTCTCCCAAGAAGCAGGCGTCTTTTAATTTTGTGGCTGCTGTCACCATCTGCAGTGATCGTGGAGCCCAAGAAAGTAAAATCTCTCACTGTCTCCATTTCTTCCTCTTCTATTTGCCAGGAGGTGATGGGACCAGTGGCCATGATCTTCGGTTTTTTTGATGTTGAGCTTCAGACCATATTTTGCGCTCTCCTCTTTCACCCTCATTAAAAGGTCCTTTAAAAAGGTTCATTAAAAGTTTCATTAAAAAGTTTTTTTCTATTACTGAGGAATAGTCCTCCTTAATTACAAGAAGTTCCTTCATAGTTTACAGTGTTGAGATATGATGTGTCCAAGCCAATGGCATAGCATGGGGGCACAGGGATGGTTGCTCTGGGTCCAAAATTATCAGAGATGCAAAATTCCAGCACCCAGTGCTGCCTCAATACAGCTAAGTGCTTCTGTCGCTGGGCTCTATTGAAAAAGGCTTCTCCGTGTGAACCAGGAAGTGACCTCTCCAGACAATGGAATGACTCTTCTTTGCTTATCTCTATGGCTGCGATCTCCTGGGTGATGCAGACACCGTCAGGCAGTTGAATGTACATGCTTACACCTAACATTTCCCTCCCTTGCCCTGGGTGCTGGCAACCCACGCAACACCACTGATCCAAGCCCTGAAACAAATCTATGTATATGTTGTGCCCTTCAGGGTGGAGGAGGGGTAATGACAAGGTGAGTTTGTAATACTTATCCTTTGTAAAAAGACAATACAGAGTGTAGGGATCAATGAATCAGTTGGCCCTCTTCTTAAGCTTAAGTTCAATTATCCACATTTCTACATCAGTTTGTGATTTTTTTAAAAAAAATAAAAACACTTCTCATGAAAATTCATCAGTGAATTTCTCCTAATATACACATCTGTATGGACACTGTCCCCTAAAACAATGCATTTTTTATATTATTTTCATGAATATATGCATCTAATAAACAGTATTTGCATTGCATGACTGGCAAACTATATTGCAAAATTCAGAGAACTGAGAATCTTGAAGGATGGGTTTGTTTTGGTTCACGTATTGTTTCAGAAACTGTCTTTAAATGGTAACTGAAACAATTTTCTACCCATCTAGTCACCTCATACTAGCCACCTCAATATTTGGATCCATATGAATCTAGGTTCCTGTAGGGTCAAAGTAACAAAGCTCAAAGACCAGTGTTCCCAGAGATCTTTTGATGGTAGCAGTTGTGGGGAACCAGCTCTTTGGCTGGTTTTGTGAGCTAAATTGTGTAACTGGAAGCGTAGAAGGATCATGCTTCCTACTCTGCCTGTAGGGGAGGCTAGATAGATTACATCTCAGTCACTTCAAAGTCTACAGTCATAGGAGTTCAGACACAAAAATAAAAAGTCATTTCACAGAGCTCCGTCCTTGTTTTTCCCTTGCTTCCTGATAGGAGCACCTGGTGGGATTTATGCACATCAATCATAGAATGATAAAATGATTGGCACATACATTTTTTTTTATATTATTCAAATGCTATTCCCTGAATAAGTGGCAGGCACATCTGCCTAGGACCCATCTGTCCAATGAATTTAAAAATGAGAAAATATTGATCAATCCTATAACCTGAGTGATAGCTCAATCAGTAGAGCAAGAAACTCTTAATCTCAGGATTGTGGATTTGAGCCCAGTGTTGGGTGTAAGATTTCTGCATCACAGGGAGTTGTATTAGATGACCATCATGGTCTCTTCCAGCTCTCCAAGTCTGTGATTCTGTGAACCTAGACATTATCAGCAGCCCTTATTGTGTGTCACTGTTTGTGCAGGGGCAACAGGGATGAATACTTTAGCTCCAACCCCATTATCATAATGGTCATCCTCCCACTTGTGAAGGTTGCCTACATGCAGTTGGAACCCCCTCTGTACTCATGGAGGAAACCCGCATTTCCTGGAGTTCCAAAATACATGAAGAAGTACAAGAAGTTCCCCAAGGCAGATAATTGCTATCTGTCAGGCTTGAGGACTCCTCTCCCTCCCCCCAATGGCACCAAGAAGCAGGGAGGAAACAAGAAAGCTCCTACATATGATTAAGTGTTGGTGTTGACCTTTAAAGCCCTAAACGGCCTCAGCCCAGTATACCTGAAGGAGCATCTCCACCCCCATCATTCTGCCCGGATGCTGAGGTCCAGCGCCGAGGGCCTTCTGGCGGTTCCCTCACTGCGAGAAGCAAAGCTACAGGGAACCAAGCAGAGGGCCTTCTCAGTAGTGGTGCCCGCCCTGTGGAACATCCTCCCATCAGATGTCAAAAAGATAAACAACTGCCTGACATTTAGAAGACATCTGAAGGCAGCCCTGTTCAGGGAAGTTTTTAAAGTGTGACATTTTAATGTATTTTTAATCTTTGATGGAAGCCGCCCAGAGTGGCTGGGGAAACCCAGCTAGATGGGTGGGGTACAAATAATAAATCATCATTATCATCATCATCATCATCATCATCATCATGGTGAGAAGCAAAGAATTCAAGTCATTCCTCAGTGATGGAGTTGCTTGCACTGAGCTCCTCCCCCTTCCCCTCTAGCAACAACACATGCTTCTATAGCATCCGTCCGTGGACAACTTTCTCTGTGCTCTTTGTTCTTGCACCCTTAACGAACGCTGCATTTTGGGAGAAGTGGGGTCGGTTATGCTGTCCAGCGATGTGTCAGCTAGTGGCTTTGCCTCCCCTCCTCCTTCTCCTAACACCGCATAACTCTGCTGTTTGCCTGTCTCTGAGCAGTTATTTTCCTCAAATCCCTGCTGTAATTCGAGACTGCCATCCTCCTCTCTGGAAGCTATGGGAGAAGGGGGAGGAGACCTCCACCATTCCTCCTCCTCTTTATTTCAGTCCCTGACACTACCTAAAATTTGGAAGGCAACCAAAATGTCTACATTTTGAGATAGAACTTGCATACTCATCCCCATTGTTCACTCCTTTTGCTTAAGTGTTGAATTCACTACTAAGGGGCAAGATTCGCTTTGGCAAGATTGACCAGCATGAGCAATGTAGGATGCAGTGGATCTCTGCTGCAATTGGGCTTGGCTGACGTTAAGTCCCCAGCTGTGGCTCAGCCTGAGATATGCTGGCAGAACTTGCTTACTACCCAGCCCAGTTGGGGCTCAACCAAGTGAGCCAAAGCTGGCTGAACTGAGGCAATCATAGCTCCTTTAAATGGGGCATTTCAGAAGCGTGGTAAAGACTGGACCAGACAGGCAGAATTGGGTCACGTCCTAAAGCCCATTCAGATCAATCACATGACCTGGCAACCACACAGAGAACACTATCTTAGTTCCGTTTTCCCTCTACCAGCACACTTCCCCTGCCCTGTACAGTGGTACCTCGGGTTACATACGCTTCAGGTTACATACGCTTCAGGTTACAGACTCTGCTAACCCAGAAATAGTGCTTCAGGTTAAGAACTTTGCTTCAGGATGAGAACAGAAATCGTGCTCCGGTGGCGCGGCGGCTTCAGGAGGCCCCATTAGCTAAAGTTGTACCTCAGGTTAAGAACAGTTTCAGGTTAAAAACAGACCTCTGGAATGAATTAAGTACTTAACCCGAGGTACCACCGTATAAGGTTTGGATCTTTGATACCTTAATGCTGGCTTAATGTATACTGGTTTGCTTTATGCCAATTTATTGCGATAATATTGTGTTCCCTAATGGTGACACCTGAAGAGGGCAATAGAAATGTTTCTTTCTCCCTATGAAGCTGACAAACTCTTAAATAGTTGCATGAATATTTCAGCAAGTATAAAAATAGTCACCTCTTGCAGACTGTCATCCAGAAATGTAGATAATGATAGGATATATCATTCTGACAAAAAAAAGGATCCCACATATGATTGTTCCTAAAGGTTCTATACAAAGAGCTTATCAATACTCCTTTGTATTACAGTCTTTCATAACTTATGGCCCACAAGCCAAACATAGGGATTATCTTGGCTTGGCAGATGCTTGACAATGTCCCTGTGGCTTTTCTTTTTCTTTTTTGCAGTCTCAAGCAGGCAGCAAAACCAGGAGTTATGGAATTACAGGGTAGGTTATCTCTTTCTATAGAGCACGCTATATTTTCATTGAAAATTTACTCATATTTTACAAATAGTAGCAACAAATGAATCAAATCATCATAGTGATGCAGAGTAAATGTGTGCATAAAACTCAGCAGGGACAATTCAAATTACACATCAGGACCACAGAAGGGTAAAAAAGCTGTACAAGGAAGGCGTGTGTCCAGAACAATTTAAGGATTTAAGTTAAAGGAACGGGTACCTATGAAGGTATTTGACATTCTGTCTGCATGAAACTATTGTTCACATATGCTTCTTCTGTTACCTTGCCCAACAACTCAATTTTCTATTATTGTTGATACCTCTGGTTAACAGTGCAATCCAAACTCCAGCTGGGCTTAATGGAGCACCTAAATCTCTGGAGACTGTTATTCAAATGATCCAGGGGAGAAGGTATAGGGAGGCAAGTCTCTGTACCAATCCGGAGCTAGCACAACTTTCAGGTTTGATACAGTCAAGCGATCACATTGGGGCCGACTTGGGATCCAGGCTAGTTTAGTCCTTTCTCACTACACCCCAGAACATCCAGTTTCAGAGTGTTCAATGAACTGCCACCACCAGGATTCCACCAGAAACACTTCTGCCTAGTGGGTGGAAAAGAGCCCATACTGAAGAAACCCAGCCAGATGGGCGGGGTATAAATAATAATAAATTACTGGTGGAGTGACACTGGCATTACTCTGTGGTTGGAGAGACACTTCTGACCAAACAAAATGCCCCCCAAGCTGGGCACAAAAGGGGTTTAGATTGCAGCCTCAGTGTAGACAGCCAGTCTTTATATATTATTTTCTTTGCATCATTTCCAGGAATGTTCACTAAGGCTAATTTTGGAATCAGTTGCCACAAAAGCTCTACAAAATCTTACTGATATCTCCATGTAGTGGAAAGTGGCTACCCTCTTAACATTAGGAGAAACATCTTTATATACAATGGTATCTCAGTTCACGAACGTAATCTGTCCCTTAAGTCTGTTCTTAAACTGAATCCGTTCTTAAACCGAGATGCGCTTTCCCTGATGAGGCGTCCTGCCTCCAGTGCCCTTCCACAGTTCGGTTTCTGTTTGTAGACCGAGGTAAAGTTTGCAAACTTTACTACTTCCGGTTTTGTGGAGTTCGTAAACCGAATCATTCGTAAACAGGACTGTTCGTAAAACAAGGTACCACTATACTTGTTGTAGCTTTAGAGGATAGTGTAGACATGGACTTTGAGGATGTACCAATCCAGACTGCAAGCAGAATGCATATAATGCATTTCTTGAAAGACAAAAACTAGAATAACTGGTTGAAGACTAACCCAACCCCTTTCCCCTATCAGTTTACTATAATGTGCAGTCATGAATTTGTTTTAGGGAACACTTCAGAATTGCACATATATCCAATTCTAATTCATTTGGAATCTTGTGTGGAGTATCAATTGCATGAACAAGGACTTCCACAGAAAGGATAGACAAATGACTGCTCAGATGTGTGCAGTTGAAGTATCTTGAAAAAGAACAGTTGTTGTTGTAGGAATCATGGTGGCAACATGACCTCCTCCTCAGATAATTCACTCAATGTCTACATGGAATCTCAGGTGAGTTGTGAGTTTGCTGGCAGCAACACATGTTCCTGTGACTGATTATGCAAGACCCAATATGCACCTAAACCAAAGTATACAGCTTCATGATGACAGGAAGAAATCATACTGAATGCATGTACAAGAACTTGGGGCTAGTTTTGTACCTAAAGGAATAAATGAGCAGAACATACGGAGAACATACAAAGTCATAATGCTTGGGGATGTAAGACTATAGTGAAACATCAACAGTATTAAAGATGGAAGGATGGTAAATTTTGGTTCTCCCGTTTTCTTATTTTTGTAATCCTAAATTCAGTTCTCCACATTTTGCAGCAATCTGCTTAAAAAAAAAATCCCTCACTAAAATTCCCCAGCGTTTTAGTGTAAATTTCTCATAATAAGCATGCTTATATTGACTAAGGAACACATTTTTGCAAGCAATTTCCCCATATGTAATGCATTTTTGCATGTTATTTTCAGGAATATCTTCAGTTTTATGCACACTTTCCCCTAATATATGCTTTTTTGTGAACATATACTGAATCACAAAAATTGGATAAATGCAAATTTTGAAGGATAGCTGTGTTTTGGAAAGTGCAGATTTGATAGATTTTACTTTAAGGGCTGAATCAAATTTCTCCTCCACCCCTAAGAGGTATGAAAGAAAAAGACACAATTAAATAATTATCTTCATTATCATGCCACTCTTAATCTTGCATAGCAAAAGAGCTCAAGAAGACTCTTGATATTATAATTATTTGCTGAAAAATGAGTCCCTCATTCATTTATTTTTCCACTTTCTATGCTAGAGTGTAATTCAGGGTATAATTCCACTATGAGGCAAAAGCACATATCACACTATACAGGGCAAAAAGTGCAAGGGAAAGTAGTTTGTTTAAATGCTCTGCATTTCAAAAGAAAAATCAATTTCTTTATTAAATTTATTTTTATGTCATCAGCATTTTCCTCCAAGTATAAAGTTTCACACAAGCTATCATTTTGTGGGGAGGAATGTGGTTCCACCTTTGGCAACAATAGCTTTATCCCCATGATGTCTTTCTATATTCTTTGTTCTGAAAATGACTGAACAGTATATTTCATATTGGTATTCTCTTTTTTGGAAATGCAAGGCCCAGTGCTTATCCATGTATGAGTCAAAATTACAAATTGCGCATGCAACGTTAAAAATTGTTAGGGCTGCAACCTTTGAACATTTCATTTATATAATGCTTGGAATTCAGTGTTACAGAATTCAGCTTTAAATCTTGCCAGACACAACAATGTATCTCACCCCAAATTCTGTTCTGGGGATTCTCCTGACTCCTCCCAGCTAAATTATCTTTTCTTGCTGGACAGCAACCAGAATAGAACTCAAGGTATAAGAAAACTGCCGAGAAAATAACACAAGAAAACTAGGGAAACTGGCTCACCTATAAGCAATATTTCCCAACCCTTACAGAAGTTCTGGGTCAGAATCATTTATTGCTCTGCATAACTAGAAGAGCTGCTTTTGTCGGCCACAAACTACTGCAGCAAATTTTTGTAGTTGAAGAAAAATAGACAAAGGCTATTAGACAGGACAGCAAGATTCAACAATTCCCAGTCTTCAAACACAAACACAACCTGAAAGAATACTCAACATAGCATATTGGAAAAAATCAAGGTTATATTTATTTAAATATAACAAATTAGAGTATCGGCAAAATAAGCCAAATCATTAAGTGTGGGCAGGTGTATGAGGGAAACATTTCTCCCCACCATGGACATGTAAGCCACCACATAGTTTGTCCTCGAGCCAAGAATTGAGAGAGGATTCCCTTTCTTTGCTACCTGAGCCTTGGGTTGTGAACCCAACATGAGTCCATCTTTCACCAAGGTATGAACATCAGGCCTTAAGTTGTGCCCAAATACACAACCCCATGGGACTCGGGTAGCACTGTGGTCTAAACCACAGAGCCTAGGGCTTGCTGATCAGAAGGTCGGTGGTTTGAATCTCCGCGACAGGATGAGCTCCTGTTGTTCGGTCCCTGCTCCTGCCAACCTAGCAGTTCGAAAGCACGTCAAAGTGCAAGTAGATAAATAGGTACCGCTCTGGCAGGAAGGTTAACAGCATTTATGTGTGCTGCACTGATTCGCCAGAAGCAGCTTAGTCATGCTGGCCACATGACCCGGAAGCTGTCTGCGGACAAACTCTGGCTCCCTCAGCCAATAAAGTGAGATGAGCGCTGCAACCCCAGAGTCGTCCATGACTGGACTTAATGGTCAGGGGTCCCTTTACTTTTACCTTTACACAACCCCAAGCCCCCAGTCTGTAGTTGATAAGTCAAGAATGCCTCATAATACAATAGTACAAAAGGAGGGCAATGACATGAGATCTTCCCTTCCCTGCTTTCCAAACAGATCAATTGAACCAAATCAATAGAACAGAGCCCTACAGTGTGCAGCGGGTCAAAGAAGGAAATTCCAAGTGTCCATCGGGACTCTCCAAAAATTCCTACTCAGCACCAAGGCCACATTGCAGATGGATAGAAGAAGGACAGTGCAACTTTAGAAGGAAGAGGAGGCAGAACAAACATAAATATTGCCTAGATTGCCCCTTCCCACTGGGCATTGGACCCATGTGCTGACCCTCTCCTCCTGGAGAGACCAACTCAAGTCTCTTCCAAGGCCAATGGGGCTGAGGCAAACCACTCCTGATAAAAGTAGGAGCATCAATATTATTATCATAAAGATACACTCTATCCTGTACTGTACAGTTTCTGAATTTTAGTATTGTAGAAGCCATATGAGATGGTTTGCTAATTATTGTGCAGTCTATTGGTCAAACACTACTGTAAAGTTCTGAAGTCATTTCATATCTATGTTACAGTAATAGATGGCAATTTTAGTGCCTTGCCTTGATTTACTTCTTAAAATCCCAACTTCACAGAGCCACGTCTGACGGAAACACTGTAGCCAGCAATATCTGCTCTAGCCAAGCCTAATCATTATTTCAATTAAACGGCATGATTTTTAACTCTGTAAAATGGTATCCTTTGAATGGGCTGCTTAAAATAATTCATAAACAGGAAAACTGGAATGTAGTTTGGTAAATTACATAAAATAACATAAGGGCTTCCAACTGCATTGCTTTTAAGATAAAAGAGCAGCATTATTTGATATGCTTTCAAAGGAGGAAAAAACTGCATCTGAACAATTTTTCGTCTCCTTATGACTGTGTTGAGTATGCACCTGTGGTTTTCAAATCTGCTAAGGCATTCATCAGATCATCAACAGTCCTCAGCTCCAACAGAGATGTCAGCAGGAGATATGTAAGAACAATTTATGACTTTGGCAACTGGAGAAGTAATATATTAGGATTCATGGGTGGGTGATATAAATAGCCCTGATGATGATTCATGAATGAATGAATTAACTGAATGAATACAGTATACAATATGTATCTAAATGTAACTGCAAACTCCCTAGTGGCTATTAGGACGAAGCATTCCTCCCCCCCAAAAAACAATAAAACTCATCCCTTCTCATCTTTTTCTTTTCAAAATCTCACTGCTCAACTCTTTCATTCATGATTTTCTATACACCCACATGATGACCCACCTTTGGACTGACTTGTATTAAGAATCACTTACAGTAAAAAACTGATGCTGTGTTTCAGAATTCCTTGACACAGACTAGGAACCCTGGTGATCAGTGAAGCTCACACTAAAAAACACAATGAACATTACAAGCTCCCCCATTCTTTTCTGGTTCATAGTTTAGCCAAAGCTAGAAGAAAGTCCTTATTCTCTCCCAGGCTTCCACCCGTTCACAAGACTGCTGCAAATATATTGAGGATGTATTTGTTTATTCCTTGCTCCTTGGTGCCTAGAATGCTTGCAGCAATGACCCAGCCAGCAAGATATGCCATTTTCCCAGGGCACCTGATGAATGCCTGATATCCAAATTGGAGATGCCTAAAATTGTTTAAATAACAAGTTTATATACAGTGGTACCTCAGGTTAAGTACTTAATTCGTTCTGGAGGTCCGTTCTTAACCTGAAACTGTTCTTAACCTGAGGTACCACTTTAGCTAATGGGGCCTCCTGCTGCCGCCGTGCCGCTGCTGCACGATTTCTGTTCTCATCCTGAAGCAAAGTTCTTAACCTGAGGTACTATTTCTGGGTTAGCAGAGTCTGTAACCTGAAGCGTCTGTAACCTGAAGCGTCTGTAACCCGAGGTACCACTGTATTAGGGTGTCCTGGTTTTTGAGATGCTCTCTTTATGCTGCAATTCTGGCATAGCTACATAGTTGGGGTTACTTTGCAGTAGTAGTTTGATTTAAAGAAATAAAATGAAGCATACATTGTTTTGGCTGTACTGCTTTGAGAATTACAGATGTTCAGCACTCAACAACTCTAAGGTATATCAAAGTGAGGCATTCATTACATAGGACAAGCATGAAAAAACTTCAGGAAGAACTGAAGGAAGAAAGTATGTCTCAAGACACACAACGGAAGAGAATTTTTCAAGAGTACTTTGGCTTTGACAGTGTTAACTTCTGGGATGCCCAGAGACACTTCATTCCCAGGAACATTTACAATGTACAATTTACATGCTGCATGATAGCTGCTTGTGCATAGCTGTTTTCAGCAATAAAGGCTTTCATTTTGCTTTTACTTACGGAAAAAAAGACTTGATTCTCTTTTATTTAGTCTCAATTGTCAACTGGAACTTTCTGACAAACCCCTTGAGATTATGCAGCCTAGAGTTACTATTTTAGCAAAGCAAGGTTACACTACTATTACGGATGATATAGTAATTGTAGTTTCCAGAGATAATTGAGCAATAGCAATGAAAATATTTTTCAGCTCAGTAAAGCAAATGTGCAGATAATGGAGCCTTTTGAAGGAGGTACAATTTTTTTATTCAGTGGGCCTTAAATGGTAAAAGAAGCAAACAGGGCCAACTCCTAGTTGTATAGCAGGGACACATTGCTGCAATCCCTAGTGAAACATTTATTCATTTATTTAAACAATTTACACACCATTTAACTATGATAGTCTCTAAATGGTTTGCAAAGGTACAACACAAAAATAAAAATCAGTTGCAACTGTACAATCAAACTACAAGTTAAAAATGCCTGCTAGAATAAAATAAGTATTCAGTAGACGCTGAAAGTTCAGTTTGGTTTGTCTGACATTAACTGGAAGGGAATGCCATAAATGTGGACCAAAACAATCTAAACATGACATCTAAAGCACCACTATGATACACCTGTATCTTTACATATGTCTAATCACTGCCAGGCATCAGAAGCTCTTACCAATGTATTTTATTCAACATTCATAGAGAGAGGCTTAGAAATGCAGCCTCTTGGAGTTATAGCATTGCTCTGAGTAATCTCCAACCCCCTTCTCTCCTCAGTCATCAACAGCACCACCCTGCTTACGATGCCTGCTTAGGGCCATTTGCCTCCGAGCCTTTTGCTCTCCTACTTTCAATGCTCACCGGGTTCTGGGAGAAGGGGGGACTGGAACTCTTTCTAGTGATAACGTGTCAGCCAGCTGCTCAGGCTCTGCTTACCCCTCCTGCCATTATTTCCCAACTTTGCCCCTCATCTACCTCTGAGCCACCAGCTTCCTCATACCACTGTTGTAAAGCTATACTGTCTTCCTCTTCTCTGGAAGGTTGAGGAGGGGGACGCAGTCTCCACCATTCCCCTTCTGTTCAGTCCCTGACAATCACAAGCATTAAAATGTTGAACCACCATCCCTTGAGCATTGGCCATGATGGCTGGGGCGACGGGAATTTTAGGCACCAGGTAAGGGAAAGACTGGCTTATGAAAACACATCTTCTTGACCCATCAGTTCTACATTTGATGATTCTTACCTTTCTTTTTTATCCTATATCTGCACATTGCACTGTCCACAGCTACGCCTTCAAGAGAAAGTAGTGTTGCTCCAACCTGGAGCAGGAGTGAAAGCATTTCATGAATAATTCCCTACATACCATTTAATATGGCCCCTGTTTTTTGCTGAATTTTCATATCCATTTGGCAAAAGCATGAAATACCGTTCACGGTGTTAAAGAGCCAGAGGGAACTGGGCCAATGCTCCCTCACTCCTATCCATTTATTTATCTCCACAAATGAATACACTACTTAACACTGGTGTTTCTAAGTGGTATAGAATCAGATTACCACCACCCCCTAAATAAAAAAAAATGCAGTGGATATAATGAAATTAATCAATTTAATTTAAAATTCATTTCCTTCTTTCTCCAACCCAATGATTTCTCAACTTTTAACTAAACTGTTCCTCCCTGATATCACCCTATCTTGTTTCCCTCACTCATACAAGTTTATACCAAAGTGAGAAATCAAGGTAGCAAAAAAGGCTGCAGTCCTAACTCCACTTAAGTGGTGTAACCCCACTGAATTCAGTGGACTTATAAGAATGTGTGAAGAGCCTGCTGGATCAGCCCAATAGCCAATCTAGGGCAACATCCTGTTCTTACAGTGGCCAACTAGATGCCTAAAAGAAGCCCAAGACCAGGACCCGAGTACAACAGCATTCTACCCATCTGTGATGCCCAGCAAGTAACATTCAGGGACATACCATCTCCAACAGTGGAGATAGAACATTGGCATTGTGGTTTGGTATCTGTTCATAGCCTTATTGTCCATGAATTTGTCCACTATTTGTTTTAAAGCTGTTCAGGCTGGTGGCCATCAATACATGGTGCCTTCTTCCCCTCCAACCGAATTCAGACCAAATGAGCATCGTGTTCACACAGTGGCCAAGCTGATGCCCATGGCAGGCCACGAGCATAGTAGCATTCTCCTCACTTGTGATTCCAAGAAGCAGGGCTGGATTTAGGTTTGATGAGGCCCTAAGCTACTGAAGGTAATGGGGCCCTTTATATGTCCAGCTGTCCTTTGTCAACAACAAATTGTCGCTGTTTTTTGTGTTGAATATATGCTACATGAGAATTGATGCTTTTGAATTATGGTGCTGGAGGAGACTCTTGAGAGTCCCATGGACTGCAAGAAGATCAAACCTATCCATTCTTAAGGAAATCAGCCCTGAGTGCTCATTGGAAGGACAGATCCTGAAGCTGAGGCTCCAATACTTTGGCCACCTCATGAGAAGAGAAGACTCCCTGGAAGACACCCTGATGTTGGGAAAGATGGAGGGCACAAGGAGAAGGGGACGACAGAGGACAAGATGGTTTGATAGTGTTCTCGAAGCTACCAGCATGAGTTTGACCAAACTGCAGGAGGCAGTGGAAGACAGAAGTGCCTGGCGTGCTCTGGTCCATGGGGTCACAAAGAGTCAGACATGACTAAACGACTAAACAACAACATATGCTACATGGTGATTTATGGACCTAATAGGTATCTAAAGTCATTTGCACATAACAAAACATGTATTTTATCAAAGTAATTGTTGAACTTCTCTTATATTTTGGAAATGTACATCCAGGTTTTCTTTCTTTTAATTTTTTGGGGGCCCCCAAGAGAGTGGGGCCCTAAGCTATAGCTTGTTTAGCTTATACATAAATTTGGCACTGCCAAGAAGCCAATAATCAGAGGCATTCCGGTAGCCAGTCATACTGCCTTTGACAGTGGAGAATAAAGATGAAAAAGCTAACTCCAAAGATGACCCCAGAGAAAATATAAATTACGGTAGGGAAACCAAGTGGTATCTACTTATCTGGTAGTTTCTCTTCAAAAGTCTTGATGGATGAGAGAGGGGATTCCTTTCTCTACTCAACTAGGTCGGAGGCTTCCATAGCAATGAAGGATTAAAAAAAAGTCCACTTCAATCCTCCCCCTCCCCACTTTCTCTCTAGTACTGAATTTATTTGCTCTGCCTTTCACATTTATTATTATTATTATTATTAATCAGGCTGTCCTATACCTGCAGGTCACAGGATAAAATCAGAATATGAAACCACAAATTAAAACAACAACTCAATAACCACTCCCCCAACACATTTTAAAAGGGCATATGATTTTAAAAGCTGTCATTTCAGCATAGATAAAACTTGCTGCTGCTTGACGAGGCAGAAAATTCCCTCAAGAGGAAGGCCCAAGGTCATAATGGTTATCTGCAAGAAAATGGTTTGG